GCTTTGGGCATGTTTTTTTATGAGAGTATAACATTATAACATGATATAAAACTCAAAAAAGTTGATTTTACATGATATTGCCCCTTTAATTTATTTCGGTGGGGATTTGCAAGTGTTTCATTACATTTTTGAGGCCGACATGTTTGCTCACAGAATATTCCAGTATCAAAGGGTGTCTTTTTTTCAGTGGCTAAGCAGCGAGTAAGCACATGTCCAAATGTAAAATTGAAGGTGTTGTATGTATGATACAAATTACTCCTTGTGTATTCTTTGACCATCACCTGACAGTCATCTTTCAGCTGCAGCTCTTAACTACCTGGGGGGACCCATACTACATTGGACTGAATGGCCTGGAGTTTTATGACCAGAGCCATGAGAAGATCAGTCTCTCTGACAACAGTATCCTTTCCTATGTGTCAGTCATTTATTAGTTTAGATTGCATAAGGAACAATTAAAACTGGTTATGATGTGTTCAAAACTGATGAGTAGTTTTAATGATATACACATATATGATGAGTCTTTAACATTGTGTCCATCAGACATCGCAGCTTTCCCAGACAGTGTCAATGTCCTGGACAATGTAAGCGGCGATGTAAGGACTCCAGATAAATTAATAGATGGAGTCAGTGACACCCACGATGGCAGACACACGTGGTTAGCCCCAGTTCTGCCTGGAATGGTGAGGAAGCATGTCAGAAGAAGCTGAAAGTTGTTCAGCTGACTCCCATCTACATTTGATAGTGTGTCTCCTGGTTTCCTCGCAGGTCAATCGTGTTTATGTCATCTTTGATCAGCCGGTGACGGTGTCTATGATCAAACTCTGGAACTACTCAAAGACGCCTCAGAGAGGAGTGAAAGAGTTTGGGGTGAGCCTTTCAGTTTGCTGTTGGGTATTGCAGTAACTCTGTGCACATTTTGACCTTTACCTCCATCGTGTCTGTGTGCGCAGCTGCTAGTGGACGACCTCCTGGTGTATAACGGCATCTTGGACATCGTTAACCACACAGCAAGAGGCATTCTGCCTACTTGTGACCCGGTGGTGCCTTACCACACCATCCTGTTCACAGATGATTTCTACATTGCACATCGTGAAAGGAACACTGTCATCAGGTATGCCAGCTTTACCTAAAACATTTAAGTGCCCACAAAAAAATGTTCTTTTCTCAGATTGCAATATCTTAAAATTTGCTGTACTGTTGGTGAATWGTTGAAAATCTAGTATAGACAAATTAACTGATGAACAGAATGGGTTAAGTTAAATCTTATCACGCTGATAACTCAGTTGTTTTGAACAACTTTTGTCCACTTCAGCCCTCGTGGCAGAAGACACCACCATCAGTAAGTAAGAGYCTGGAAACTCTTGTGTCAGCACCCCCTGGTGGTCAGTCCCTGCACTGTAGATTCGTCCAGTGTCCGCAGAAATCCCTCACCAAATACCCAGTCATGTCTCCCCTCTTCTTTCATTTTGTGGTACCTCTGGCTCCATTATTGGYTCTTTAAAGGCCATAACATACAGACTTTAAATCCTTTTTCCTCCCTTTTTACCTCAGTTTCTCAGTGGTTCAACAAATGTAGCTGAAATGAAACAGTTGCCTTCCTGTTTTTTTTTATGTGTTGCAGTAATCACGTGGAGGACCAAGACGTGATGATGACTAACGAGAATCAGATTGTTCATCACAACAAGAAGAAGCAGACAGCAGATCCAGGTGAAACATCTATTTCTGCTTATATTCAGAAATTATTTGAACGTAATACTTATTTGTTCTTTAATGTAGCTCTTCGGCCTAAAACGTGCATGACTGACGGCGGAAAATATGGAAAGAGGAGATACTAAGAGACACAGACAAATCACACAGAGAACTGAACGTGACTACGCTCCACCATTGGTAGGCAAACCTTCCATTAAATCTTCAATCAACTACAGAAGAGGACGTTTCAATCAGTGTGCACACACAGTGAGTTCCACTTCATGTYTGGATTCCCTCTGTCGTTGGCTGTGAAAACACCCACCCACACACGCATGACAGAGAACACACACTGTACAACACGTTATCCCTCCCACAGTGCCAGAAAAAAATCTGAGGCTGCTTTTTCTCAGCTGAGTTACTGTGCCTATTACTGAACACTTCACCTTGTGGCTGCTACGTGTGACTTGTGCTGCATATCCTACTGCTACTTGTATGTAACCCYCTGCAGTACATAACTAAAACACTTCAGTGACTTATCTCCTGATGAGCCAAATGATCATAACCTGAATATGAAAACACCAATCCATCAACTTGTTGCAAAGCTATGCAGCCAATTTATAACTATTATAAATGAATTAGCTAAGATATTCTGCAGCAGGTTTTACCTGGAAGTGCTTTCTGAACAATTTTTACCTTTTTGTAGGATATTCATTGGCGCTTACATAATATTAAAAAAAAGGTTCAAAAATCAGTGTATTTCACCTTTAATTAAAGAACTGGAGTTATGCAAAGGTTTTAATGCATATGAACACATCCAGATGGTTTAGGTGTGTTTAGCATTGGTAATAAAAGCTTGTTTGCAATCCAAGTGACCTTTATCAAAAGCTGCAATGTGCTTAATTAAGGTAGGCTTATGGAGGCAAAGCTTTTTTTTATTGTAGATAAAAGCCAACGTCTAATATGCAACTATTACTATTATACCTCAAATTAAATAGGTTTAATAAAGGACACATCCCATTTTACCTTCATCTGTGGTGTGCTGTCTTTAAATATTTACTGTATTGCTGCATGGAGGGGTCTGAACGTTAGCTTTTAATGATCTAAAACATTTCACTTGTTCAGTCTCATTAAGCCCTGCTGTAAATAATTTCACACTCCTTACGTGGAGTGGTTTAAGAAATGCAGTTTTATGTATTTAGTTTCAAAATAACCCACACTAACAAATAATCACCAAGTCTGCTCCTTTTAATGGTGACTGTTGTATGTTTGACTTTTTTTACATTTATTTTTCTAATCTATGTGTATAATTGATGTAGGTTTATTTAAATAAAATGTCAACATGAACTTTGTGGAAAAAATGTTGTGAACGTGTTTTCTTCATCAAATATACAGACTAATGTCATTTAAACTGGGAGCTGTAGGTTTATATTTTTAGACGGGCCAAAGCAAAACCTGTTTATTTATTATTCACCCAAAGGGAATAAAGAGAAAAATACACGAGAGACAGATGAGCGCCATAAATACATCCTGAGAATTTTTAATGCACAATCTGCAGTATATCCATTGTATTTGTAAGGAATGACCATTCCGTTTCAATCTGCTCCTCGGACAGAGCTTTAGAAGTGGAAAAGGTGACGAGAGCATCACTTTTTACAAACATTTAGCTGATTACATCTTTGTATCAAACAGCTTTGGGGACGGTGGGCTCAGATTTTTCCTGGGAAGGTCCCCTCTTCTCTCTGCTCATCCCATTTCTCCACCTAGAAAAACAAAAGTTTCAGAGGGAAAATTCTTCATGTGCGTGAAATAGTACTTCAATRATACTTTAATATTTCCTGAATCTTTTATGTTTCTCTGGTTCAACATCCCTGATTTAACATTACCAGTCTTCTGATGACACGCCAGAGATTATTTAATAGTTTGAGTCAGATGAGCTGCAGCAGGGACACAGCTAACACATTCGAAGCAGGTTCAACATAGCTGAGCTTTCTTTGTTAGCTGGCTCAAAACAACCTTAAGTCTGAGATAAATCGGTATTACAAGGGAGAATATTTATTAACTGTGCTTGTGGWTTTAATGGTATTGTGTCACTTTGTTTTCTCTTTAATGTAGTTACAAGCTTCTAAAAAATGGGAATACGATTTTGTGAGAATATTTAAATTTCTAAATTTAATACATAAGGTTTCATTCTGATTTTAATATCTAGAGCACAGAGATCGATCCACATTCAAATAGAGCATCTTTTGAGACACCAAAAACTCTTCCTCATTATAGTCCAACCATCTGTATGAAGAAACGCTCTCCTAAATGGACTGCAACTTTTACTCAATGCAGTTTGATCAACTTTGTTCAGCAGAAAAGTTTCTTTCAGTTGAGACCAAGAGCAAAGGTTAAGCCAGTTTTGACTGAACCTGATCTAGAGAGAGTAATTCTTGCTTTTATAACAACCCGCCTTGACTACTACAATGTACTTTATGAAGGAGTCGAGCCTTTTCACATCTCCAAACGATTCAAAAYGCTGCTGGAATATGTAGATTTGAGCACAGTTTGTCTTATTCTCACTYTGTAGCATCACAGAATTATTGGCTTTAAAAATTTTCTTGTTTACTTGTAAATGTCTAAATGGTTTCACCACTTCAGATATTTCTTCTTATATGACTTTGCGGGCCGTGAGATCTGATCAAGATACCTTCTAATGTGAGATGGGTTCATTTCCTTCATGTATTTAAATCTCTTAAAAAAACATCTGTTCTCACTTTTATAAAACCCAGTGTGAGTTGGCTTTGTCTTTTAATGATACAGTAATCATCATTTGGCTTTTGTGGCTTTTTTTTCTTAGTTTATTGTAAACTTGTATTTCCACTGTTTCTTTTTTACAAGTTTTTTTTTTTTTTTTGTATACAGTACTTTGGTTACAACTTGTTTCTAAATAACCTCATAAATAAACTGACTTGATTCTGTAGAAATCAGAAATGTCATAAGGAAATCTGAAAATGACAGCTGATACTTTAAACCAGAGGAGCCCAAAGTGGGGCCCGCGGGCCAAATTTGGCCCGCCAAGCCATTTGATTTGGCCCACCAACAGTTGCCAAAGTTACAAGGTTGTAACCTGTTATCCTATAGGTAGAAACACAGTATTTCCATTGGTCAAATGACTATATAAAAGGGCTGTAGTGAAGGTATTTTTCAGTCATGGTGCTGACTTTATCTTTGATTTATTAGGATTAAACATGAAACAACAAGAAATATTTAGATCAGATTTAACCCCGCATGTAGATTTGCACACTTTATAAGGCCACAAAAACTCATTTTATCAATTTATGATATGTCCCATGAGCCTTTGCTACTTGAGCGTATGGCAGACTTTCTCCAAGTGCACAGACTAAAACAAAAGAGGGCCATTGAACAGCTTAATTGTTAAAAATAAAAGACTTTACTTAAAAAAGTGTTTGTATTTCATGTATTATATAAATGTATTTGGCCCGCAGCCATGGATAGATTTTCAATTTGGTCCCCTCTGGGAAAATGTTTGGGCACCCCTGCTTTAAACAATCTGAAATATCAGATACATTTATTTGTATAGCACCTTTCAAAACCCAGTTACAAAGTGCTTTACATCACAGAATAAAAATAAATAAAAATAAAACATGCAGTGGTCAACAATTAAAAGCCAACTCATAATAATATGTTTTAAAAGAGATTTAAAAGAGGACAATCCTGTCTGATATAAAGTGGCAGTGCATTCCATAAAASAGGAGCCCTAACAGAAAAGGCTCTATAACCCTCTGTAGTCTTACTCTGAGTGCTATAARCAGTGACTGATCAGATATATATACAGTGTAAGTAAGTCTGAAATATAAGATGGTGCAAGTCCATTCAGTGATTTAAAAACTATCAATGCAATCTTAAAACCAATCCTGCAAACCACAGGTAACCAGTGTAAAGAAGCCAGAACAGGAGGGATATGATCATACTTCTGGGATTCAGTGAGGACTCTAGCTGCTGTATTTTGTAAATATTGTAAAGTGAAAACCCGTACTTAAATTTAAAATAAGAAAAAGCCTGAATGTGCCTGAACAGTTTTTACTGAGCTAAGATTGTTTGGTTTAATTTGAAACTTGTGTTTTGATTTGCTGGACTGGACAAGACTTCAGGGAATAAGTGAAGGGAAGGAAAAAAAATAAAAATAAAAAATTCACCCCCCTAATGAACCAAGCTGACCCCAGAATCATAGAAAGAGTCAWGGGTCATTGCTCTTTTTTTAAAACAATCCAGTTTGTTTTTAATTCATATTAGTTAAGAAAGTAAATATTTACCCATGACATGGGGCAGATGGATGTGTAGACCCTCTTGTACCATTCACAAGGGGTGAGGTCTGCTCCTTTAGCAGTCAGGGCTTTCTGACAGCGGTGGTAGTCTAAAAAAGTAAAACAGAGAAAGGAAAGACAAACAATATGAGACAATCCATGTCACAAATTAGTCTCTTATGTGCAGATTTTAGCGGCCATAACATTTTAAATTCAGACATATTATACAAATCCATATATATA